AGCCACTTTGCTTTCTTGCATTGCCTTTTCTTTGGGATGGTTTTTGTTGCTGCCTCCTGTACAATGTTACGAGCTTCTATCCAAAGTTCTTCAGGCACTCTGTCCACCAAATCTAGTTCCTTAAATCTGTTCTTCACTTCTACTGTGTATCCGTAAGGGATTTGGTTTAGATTATACCTGAGTGGCCCAGTGGTTTTTCCTACTCTCTTCAGTTTAGGCTTGAATTTTGCTATGAGAAGCTGATGATCAGAGCCACAATCAGCTCCAGGTCTTGTTTTTGCTGACTGTATAGAGCTTCTCCATCTTTGGCTGCAGAGAATATAATCAATCTGATGATTTCCATGTATAGAGTCGCCTCTTGTGTTGTTGGAAAAGAGTATTTGTGATGACCAGCTTGTTCTCTTGACAGAACTATTAGCCTTTGCCCTGCATCATTCTATCATTTTTGAGATTATTTTTGAGAAGAATATCATAATTGGCTGCTTCCTCTCTAACACATCACCAGCTTGGGAGCAGACCTGAAGTTCATGGACCAGGTGTTCCTTTTTGTTCTCTCAGGAACCACCAGTGAGAGTCAAACTAAGGGAAATATGCATTTCCTTGTCCAACAGTGTTATCCCTCTAGGCATGCAAATCCTTCAGTGCTACCTGTCTGAGACAACAAACTTGGAAACTAGAAACCTGATTGTTCTACAACCGAGCAAGCACAGAACAAAAGCAGTCCAATTAGCCAAAGGCAGGCTGGAGCAAGGTTATGTTAGAATAAGCAGTCATCTCCATTAAAAGATGCATTGCTTTTGAAGGATGCACTCACTGTATCCCAAGGCCCTATATGTTGATATTAAAGAAAAAGTAAGGGTTCCCCTTGACATTTAGTCCAGTTGTGTCTGTCTCTAGGGGGTGGTGCTCATCCCCATTTCCAAGCCGTAGAGCCAGTGTTTGTTCGTATAGAGTTTCTGTGGTTACATGGCCAGTGTGACTAGACACAGAACGCCGTTACCTTCCCACCGAGGTGGTCCCTATTTATCTACTTGCATTTACATGCTTTCGAACTGCTAGGTTGGCATGAGCTGGGACAAGCGACGGGAGCTCACTCCGTTGCGTGGATTCGATCTTATGACAGCTGGTCTTCTGACCTTGCAGCAGAGGCTTCTGCGGTTTAACCCACAGCGCATAATTTGAGGTCACCAAAGACTGAAGCTAATATTGCTACTGCAGGAAGAAAGCAGACCCAGGACAATCTTTGAATATGACAAATGAGCATGGTTTGTTGTACTACAAAAAGAGGTCTCCAATTCAGTTTACAGAAATGTTACAATTCATTATTGAAATACGTTTTTCTGACTGGCATGTTGTGAAGAGGCAGCATGTTGTAAGAGAAGTGGAATAGAATATGAAAAAGAGTAAATTCCCAATTATCTTTTAAAAAATCCCATGACACCAGCTATATTAATTCCTCAATTATTTTCATATGTACTTAGTGTATCGGGTATATTAAGACAGAAAGATATGTATCATTGTTGTTGTTTAGTTGTTAAGTCATGTCTGAGTCTTCGTGACCCCATAGACCAGAGCACACCAGGCCCTCCTGTCTTCCACTGCCTCTTGGATATACCTAAGGCAAAGATGGTTAACCTGTGGCCTTCTGGATATTTGAGGCTTCCATTTTCCATCAACACTAGCCAGCCTGGCAAGTGAGAAGGGATGATGGGAATGGTAGTTATAATCTCATGGAAGAGCACAAGTTGTTCTCCCCTATTTTAAATGAATGAAATTTGAATTTTAAATATGTTACAATGGCTTTTCTTGTTTGCTCAAAACATACTTATTTCTCTGTGGCCTATGAATATCTACATCTATCTCTATAATTATGTGCCAGTGGCTGAAATCCTGTTAGATTGCATCATCCACCGTAGTTGTGCCACAGCCATTTTGGGGAAACCAAAAACCTAGTCAGTCCCTCCAGGTTCAGGGGATCCTTAGGAATCCCCTTCATCCTGGGGAAGCCTTCAGGATCCACAGAATGGGAAGCTAAGAAAGGCTGGTTTTCATCTTTTTTGACACCATGCACATAAACAAAAAGGTCCATGCAGGAGTATGATTGGCAGAAGTGGGGTGTGGGGAATGTCCTGGAAGAACAGGATCATCCTCTACTGTCCTCCAGGTAACTGTGTCCCAGCTTCACTGGTTAGCTGCTCTTCCTCCTCCATGGGTGGCCGCTTTCGCTTGAAAAATCCTGTCTGTAAAAAGAAAGGTAGGAATTGAGTTGGGTAAGTCCTAAGACTCTCCAAGCCAACAAAAGCTTTATAAAGGTTAGTGTTCCAGATGCTTGGGTACAGTATTCATTCTGAAAAGGAAGCAGAAGCCCTTTACCACTGCTCTCCACACCAACTGAAGATACTATTCCAGGTGTGACCCAAGCTCCCTCCATTGCAGGCTGCCAAAGATCCATTGTCACAGTCCTGATTCTTGATTCACAAGGGTGGGCAACTAGAACTGTTCAGATATTTTTGATTACAACTCCCACAATGCAATCCACCTGGAGTAGGAATTGGCGAGCCATTCCAGTATCTTTGCCAAGAATACCCCATGAACAGAAACAAAAGGCTAAAAGATATGATGCTGGAAGATGGGCCGCTCAGGTCGGAAGGCATCCAACATGCTACCGAGGAAGAGCGGAGGACAAGGACAAGTAGCTCCAGAGCTATTGAAATGGTTGGGCCAAAGCCGAAAGGACGCTCAGCTGTGGACGTGCCTGGAAGTGAAAGGAAAGTTCGATGCTGCAAAGAAAAATACTGCATAGTAACCTGGAATGTAAGATCTATGAACCTTGGTAAGCTGGATGTGGTCAAACAGGAGATGGCAGGAATAAACATTGACATCCTGGGTGTCAGTGAACTAAAATGGACGGGAATGGGCGAATTCAAATCAGACAATTATCACATCTACTGTTGTGGCCAAGAATCCTATAGAAGAAATGGAACAGCCCTGATAGTCAACAAAAGAGTGGGAAAAGCTGTAATTGGATATAATCTCAAAAAGGGACAAAATGGCATCCACTATTGTTGCAGAAAAGGACATGTAGAGATGGATGAAGCCCCACATCCCCTGATGACTTGACCCAGCGGCTTCATGTAGATATTAAACAGCATTGGGGAGATAATCAAGCCCTGTGGAACCCCAGAATTAAGATTCCACAGAGCCGATGTACTCTCTGGAGACGGTCCTCCAAGAAGGATCAGATCCAGTCTAGCGCCAGACCACCAATTCCCACCTTGGAGAGCCTCCCCAGGAGGATATCATGGTCAATGATATTGAAGGCAGCTGAGATATCAAGAAGGACCAACAGAGACATTTTGCCCCATTCAGCCTCCTTCAGCAGGTCATCAAACAGGGTGACCAATGCCGTTTCCGTACCATGGTGCAGCCTGAAGTCTGAATGAAATGGATCCAGGGCATTGGTTTCATCCAAAAGGGCCTGGAGCTGGTCAGCCACCACCCTCTTTACCACTTTGCTGAGGAAAGAAACATTGACGAAAGGCCTATAATTGCCAATGTCGTTCGCTGCCAAACTTGGTTTCTTCCCAATGGGCCTAATGAGTGTCTCCTCTTTTCCTTCCCGGAGAGACCCATTAATAACAATCATTCGGTTGTTATAGGCCTGGCTGCTTTGATTAGCCAGGCCGGGCAAGGGTCAACATCTTGAAGATATTTAACAAAAATACAAATGATAAAATAACTTTCTTTGCCACTCAGGATTCATAAGAGAAAAAAGGTTTACGTTCTGTGAAAAGAAATGCTTTTGCAAATGCCCTGTGATGTTCTTTCAAAGTAACTTCTGAAAGTAACTAGATAATGTTCCTTGTTATATCAGGGAAGTAATTTTGTTAATTCTGAAAAGTAACTTTGTTCCACATTCTTTACCTGAAAAAGTTACTAGTTACAGGCACCTATGCTACTTGTAACTATTTTAATCCCAAACTCTGCTGAGGTGGCTGGTTGCGCTGGGTTTCTGGTAACCCAGATGGATAATCAATACTATCTCTTTGGCCAGGCCTGCCTGAACCAGGATTTGACTTACCTTCCAAAGAATGATAATAAATGCTGCAAGGAGGAGAAGTCCCACAACCACAGCTACTATAACCCACCATACAGGGATGTCCCTCTCAGCATCAGGGTTCACCCTCTCCACAAGTGTTTTAGCCTGCAGGGAAGAAAAGAAATGGTGGGGTTGGGGGGAGGCAAATGAAGCCAACGAAGGAGCTCAATTATCCTTGAAGAAGGGGTGGCAGTAAATTTCATTTGTTCTGCATTTTTAGGTGAAATGGTTTATACTGAATTAATATATGGACCCGGGGGGGGAAAAATCCTCTTTGGATTTCACACACTGCATCATTTGTGTGATGCAACTAGTGAAATAAAAAATAGCATACAAAGGCACGCTTAGAGAGCCTTAAAACACAGTGATTAATCTGCAGTACTGCAGTCAAGACTCATGACGTGATTTCGATCCTAACCAGCTCAAGGTTGACTTAGTCTTCCATCCTTCCAAGGTCAGTAAACTGAGTACCCAGCTTGCTGGGGGGGGGGCAATGTGTAGTGTGCATAATTAAAATTGTAAACTGACGAGAGAATGCTTTAAATACTATGGGACAGTATATAATATAAGTACCACACTTTTAGAGAAAGTTGGCTACAAAATGAGTATATTAGGGCATATTGACTACAAAAATACCTATGCCAGGAAAAGCTGTACATAAAAATATATGCAAATTTTCATGTGCATTTTTTTTAAAAATTAACAAGCATGGATTTATAACTGAATGTATGTGAAAGTAAGACAGAGTAGGTGAGAGTAGTATAGTGAACAGAGTGTCAGGTTAGCATTTTATAACTGAATGTATGTGAAAGTAAGACGGAGTAGGTGAGAGTAGTATAGTGAATAGAGTGTCAGGTTAGCATTCAAGAGATCTGGGTTCAAATCCTCACTCAGCCATATAAACTCACAGGGAATGGACTGGACAGAATAGAGACTGTACATCCCTACATTTACTGTAAGTGACCACAACAACACGCAAATCCTCACTCAGCCATATAAACTCACAAGGAATGGACTGGACAGAATAGAAACTGTACATCCCTACATTTAAGTGACCACAACAGCACTGTGTTATTTTAAGAATGGGATAATAAAATGGCGGTCCTCCTCTCACTCCCTGCACCACTTCCAAGAAATACTGTACTGTACTTGATGTCTGGTTGCCAGATATCAATAATTAACTGCCTGTTCAAGATTTTTGCCTTATATTTGCTGCCAGGTATCCAATAAAAAGGGAAGAAAGCAAGGAAAATCTTGTTTTTTAAAATGTGCAGGCTTTTCTCTTAGTTGCTTCACAAATCTAGTGATATGATGCGTTTTGGTGGGGACAGAGGGACATGGATGTTGTGGATCATGGCGAGGTGGTCTCTGCCTTGTAAATAGGCCTCTTGGGAAAAAATGTATATTGCTGTGAACATTGGGTTCTAAGAGCTGAAACCTTGACCAGCTTCCACGCCCAGTGAGATAGAGGAGGATCCTGAACACACGTTCTCTGACTTGAACTGCACTCTGAAATCTCTGCTTTCATCCACCCAGAGCCTACCAGAGACCTGCACTTTCCTGTGCCTGACTCGTTGCATTTAAGGATGCTCCCATTCCTGCTCCTAAACCCACTAACCCTTTGCTGGCCTGCTTTCCTGCCTCTCAGTGCAAACAAATGAGTGGACATGAGATTGTTTATGCAAGGAACAGAAAATCTGTAGCCTTCTGGATTGCATTAGACAACAAGACTCATCATCCCCAGCCAGCACTGCCAATGGCCAGGGGTTGATAGTATTTTGGTCCAACAAAATCTATTGAGCCACAAGTTCATCACCCCTGCTTTCATTCACATTTGTGAACCACCATGCCCTGATATAGTGGTCCAGAATTTCCCCTTTAGTCTTTGAAGATCCGACTGCCTGTCCATAGGTATTTCGCTTCTTACCTCCTTTCCTCAAAAGTGGGTTGCCATATGAGCTCTAAACAATTACGTCATGGCTGTTCTTTTCCTGTTCATATTTTATGGCTTAATTTGGTACTGTTCAGATGTGTCAGACTACATTTCCCATCATCCCCAAGCAGCTGGATGGGTTGATGGGAGAGGTGGTCCAACAGATCCAGGCCATGGCAAGCTGAGGAAGACTGTTTTATGGATTCATAGATATGGGCAACACAGTGGTATTTACCACATATCCAGTTTCAAGTCTGCAGCCCCGAATGAAAATGACAACTGAATACATTCGCCCCCACTTCTGAGACCAATGTCTTTAAAACAAAACAGGATGAGAGCAGAATATTTTAGTAGCATATGCATGAAATACTTAGCTAGTGATAAAAATCAAAGGAAATAATTTCCCTTTTGAACAAGAACATACACATCATTTGGAAGGACATTTAATTCACTGTAATACTTTTCTAACAAATGATAAAAACAATAGTGATTTTTCTGTTTAAGTTCTAGAAACAGGCAAATGCCTTTGTCTTGTGTGTTTTAGATCTGAACCACAAAACTAAGGTTTCCTCTTCCACTCATCTATCTGTTCTTCCATATATCCCAATGGCATTTCATCTGATTTTCACCATCTTCACAGAGGATTACATGGAAAAATGACATTGCTTTGCCAGCTTTTCAGGGCCCTAATTCCTTATAACATGAATCAGGTAGGAACTACTGTACTCTCGTTGTTGTGGGTTTTTCGGGCTCTTTGGCTGCGTTCAGAACATGGCTAAAGAGCCCCCCCAAAAAAAAAAACACCCCACAACAACCATTAGATCCTGGCCGTGAAAGCCTTCACGAATACAGGAACTACTGATCCTGGCCATGAAAGCTTTCACAAATACAGGAACTACTATTATCCTTTAGCACTACTACTTTGAAAGTAATAGGCAAGAGTTAGGATTCAAGAGTCGGTCAAATTTCTGAGTAATGGACTAGGTTTGAATTTCTGTTAGAAACATTTTTATCAAATTTGCGTTGTGAACTGTTTGCCACCTTTGGAAAATGAAGACAACACTCTGTCCCAGCTACCATGAATTTCTGGACATACCAAGGAGTATCCACTGGGTAGAATTTCAGGCTGTATTTTATAAGGCATCCCTGAAACGTTGAACCAGGCTTGAGACTGGATGAGAAATTGTTCCATGGAGTGCTGTGGTAGGCGACAGAAACAGGCATCGTGAGTCTCTCATGTCCTTCAAATCCCACCCTGAAATTCACCTCTTCTCAGGAAATCTGCATCGTGGCTGCTGCCTCTCACAGTCTATCTACAGCATATTAGGGTTAGTGTATATTGGGAGAGGGTACCCAGTGTGCTGTAGTGGTTAGAGTAATGGACTGGGTTTGATTCCCCAGCTCTGCCATTGTGGGGGATGGAACTAGTAAAACCACTCCTTAAATACCTCATCTCGAAAACCCAGTTAGAGTCATTATATCTCGCTTCTGACGATGGCACATTACAACAACATATTGAGAGGATTACAGTGGTGCCCCGCAAGACGATGTTAATTCATTCAGCGAAAATCACTGTCTTGTGAAAACATCGTCTTGCGAAATACGGTTCCCTATTGGAATGCTTTGAAATCCGTTTAATGCGTTCCAATGGGGACAAATTGTCGTCGTTTTGCGAAAATCGCACATAGAGAAACCATTTTGCGAAGCGCTGATCACCTGTTAAAATTGCTGTCTTGCGAAAATCAGTCCCAAAAACACCTGTTTTGCGAGTCACGGACCTAGCTGTCAAAAGTGTCGTCTTGTGAAAATCGGTCCCGGAAAAAAAAACACCGTCTTGCGAAGCACGGACTGAAACATCGTATAGCAAAAATTGCCCATAGGAAACACTGTTTTGCAAAGCGCTATAGCGATCGCAAAAACTCATCATGCAGATTCGTCATTTTGCAAGGTAATCGTCTAGCGGGGCACCACTGTATATATTCTTTACGATTAACGTCTTTTCACTCCCACAGTGGGATTTCCTCAGACATATTTGCCTCAGACACCAAAATAAAATATTAAGTCTGTATTTACCTTCCAGTAACCAAGCACAAAACTCAGCGCATTAAGCTACACAGGCTATGTAGGTGAGGAAAATCACATGCTAGGACAAAGACTTCCTGTACCACTATTTGGTACAGATTTGCAGAAAGCGTGATAAAGATACCATCTAGTCCTACCCTTAGCGTAGGCATGTGTAATGAAAACAACCACCTGTTCCTCCTGCGTACACCTGCCTCCATTCCACTCCCTGTTCTCCTCTGTCAAACCTGACCGTGCATCCTTCTTGAAACAATGAACCACAAGGTGCACTGATGGCATATGATGTGGATTGCTGTTTTAATGGGCCACATACAGTCTCGCTGCTGGGATAAAACCAATCACAGACCTATGTGCAATGAATTATCTGAAGTGTATATATATTCCTCTTCCAGCATAAACTCTGTCCTCACCTTCCGGAAACTCGGCAGCCACAAAACTGCATGGATGGTCACCACAGCTCCGTGCCCTCGCTCCAATGATCCCACCTGGCAGTGAAGGACGGTACAAACTTCGGTACTACAGTTCTGCAGGCAGAGAAGGGCATTGCATTCAGCTCAAAACAAGTCGACTCAGCTGTTCAGCCTGTGGAGTGTATTTAATTAGCTAACAGACCTAGGGTGGGGTCCAATACGGTAGATCAGAATGTGGGGAAGCTATTTTTTGGGGTTACCGCTCCCAGAATCTCTTAACCAGCATAGTCAATGGCCTGCTGGTTGAGAATTATGGACATTGTAGCCCCCAAACCTAACATTTCCAGAGTCTGTAGTAGAGATACACCAGTTGGGAGCTGTCAGGATATGGTAGAAGTCTATGCCAGGAGACATCAGGGTATGCCTCTGCCAGAAGAACTTTAAACGATACAGATTTACCCACTAAGCTTCCTTCCAAACAAAGCTTTTATGGTGCAATGATCTTGGCTCATTTGTGGAATTTTATGGGGTGTCTAGATATTGCTGTGCTATGTTTGTAAACTTTCCAGGTTTCCCCACCTAGCATTTCTTCAGTCTTTTCATTCCCTCAAAATCCGTTGAAAAGGGAAAGATGGCACCGCTGCACAATACCCTTCGACTGACCGGGCCAGTATCTCCCCAGCTGAAAGCACTCTAGCTTTTGGCAACACTAAGATGGTCAAAGTGGTCCTATGGTATATTACGATCATCAAACTGCTCCATCAAGACTGAAAAGAGCTGTTCAGCCTCTAAAAATTCTGGTCAGCATTGACTTGGTGGCGCGTGATTATTGTTAACTAAGGAGATTATAAACAAGTATGTTCCTAGCTCTCATTGATGTACAGTGATTGCCCCCACCTGCGGTTAATTTTTCAGCTAAGAGACGATGTTATACAAAACTGCCACACTTGTGGGGTTTCTAATCTGCAAAACCACTCATTGCCTCACTCATTTTCAAAAGAATCTGTTGCTCATCTCATCACAGGCTTGGAGACAATGAACTTAAGCAGTGGGTTAGCTTTGTTTGTGAGCAGTGATGAGGACAAGGATGTGGTGTCAGATGCTTTGGATGACATGGTCTTCTCTGGCTGTACCAACGTAGGGTGTGGTCACACTGGCCATAAGAACTGCAGTTAGTAAAGTTTCAGAATTATTTATATCAATACAGTATATAAATTTCTGGTCACACGACACAAGGGCGAATTTATTCACTTGGGCTGCAAAGTCAAATTTCCCTCCCTACTGGCTGGCAGGGTCTTTTTAAAAATATCTCACATCTACATCGATTAAATTCAATGCAGTTTTGTGGATGTGAGCACTGCTGCCATTTTAATTTCTACCTATGTGGATTTTGGGTGGCAGGGGCACCACTGTTTTTCCTCTTAATTTTAAAAAACCTTTCTTAAAATGTTTATTGCTGCATCACTTCATCAACACATTTGGTGTTACAACCACCTACCCTGTTCTCTACATTTCACCAGTGCAGGAGCTGATGGAGCAGCAGAAGGCCAGTGGGTGCAGAGCGGGCACAGGACGCCCTCTGTCTCTTGGCACGCTGCTCTGTGGGTGCAGAGCAGGCACACAGCAAGTGCAGAGACATCCTCCATGTCCTGGCATGCCCACTCTGCGCCCAGAGAGTGACCGCGCCAGGACACAGAGGACAGAGGGCATGCCAGGAGGCACTTGATTTAAAGATGTATCACTGATACTTCAAAAATCAAAAGTGTGCTCAGCAAACAGAATGGAAATGAGTTGAAGTAATTTAAGTCAATGTGAACATGCCCACTGGGTTTTACACCATGTGACTTTACAGCAAAAGTCGGGACTGGAATCAATGTAAATCGGTCATGTGACTGAGTCCGTAGTTGCATCCTGTTTCGGCTAGTATAATGCACTTTATGTAAGGTTGCCTTTGGAGTGTTTGGAACTCTGGAATATACAAGATAACAGCTTCTTATGGAAAGAACAAAAATCCCTTCTGATAATGGCTTCATTGGCTACTGGTCTGCTTCCAGGGACAATTCAAAGTGCTAGTTTGGAGCTATAAAGCCCTATATGGCTTGAATTCAGACTATCTGGAGTATTCTTTCTCCTTATATGTACCTGTCTGAATCTTATACTCTTCAAAGGAGATTTTTGCTGTGTTCCACCACCCTCAAAGGCATGTTTAGTGAGGCCGTGAGAGAGAGCCTTCTTAGTGGCTGCTCCCAGGCTGTGGAACTCCCTTCCACAAGAAACTAGGCTGGCCCCTCCCTGCTCTCTATTCAGCCAGCAAGCAAAGATCTTTTTATTTTGACAGATTTTGGCCACGAGGTAGCTGTCGTTGACATTTCTTTTAATGACAAACATTGTACATTTTATTTATTTATTTTCTTTCCTGTCATGCTTTTCAAAGGGTTATTAAATTGTTTAAATTCAGTGTTTCTCTTTAATATAAGTTGTGCCAGTTTATAGGGTTTTTAAAAATTGTCTTGACTGGTCTTTTTATCTTTCTTTTCCTTCTCCTCCTTAGTTTTGTGTGTTTTAATACTTTGTGTCCTGAACTGGGGGACTGAATAGATGACTGAATGCATAAGGTTGCCCCCGCGGTCCCCTCAAAGTCTCACCACGAGCGTGGGTTCCTCCAGCATTGCAGGGCTCACATCACGCCTCTCACGCCAGCGAAGGGGCTTGGCAGTCGCATTGGAGCTGGGAGGCGTGGTGGCTTCTTGCACTTCCAGCTATGAGGAAAGAGATGGAGTTCAGCTGAAAAGAGTGTGACTTTTTCTCAAGCACACAAGATTACTCTCCAAATAGGGTTGCAATGGAGGGTGTCGAACAACCAGTAGCCACACCGTTCAAGAGCCATTATATGTGGCTTGCATACATTACACTTTGGAGCTCTTGGGAAGGATGGTGAGCAGTGATGTCAGTTTTTGGACTGCAACTCTCATTCTCTGTTACCATTGGATATGCTATCTAGCATGAGAGGTGATGGGGGACTCATTGTTCCATGGCATTCTGCATACAAGTCTTTATCACTGGATTATGGCTCCTTATTTTATCCCTTTTCCCTTCCAAACCCAAGCTAAATGATAACTGTTAGCTCGTCATTAGAAGCAGAGTTCTCTTAAGTAAAGGATGCCTGTTTATCTTAGCAGAAGCTCAGCGTATTCCCCACATTGTTAATCAGCTCATTTTTCTTTTGTGATTGCTTTCATCTGCAACTCAACACAGGTTTATTCTGTAACTCTGACTGCTCAGCCATGCATCTTCAAAGGTACTGTGTGCCTAGAAGGAAAACGTTCTAATAAACCAAATACTGTACTCAAATATCTTTAAAGTGATTTAACTCCTTGATTCTCACCTTGAGGGGGTTGGTCTCATTCGTGGCTAAGCAAGAGACGTTGCCTTCAGTGCTCACCCTAGTGATGTAGAGCAAGAAACCTTCCCAGAACTTGCTGGGGAAGTCCACAAGAAGCTCAGCTCCAGAAACCGTACTAGGGCCTGCATTCTGCAGCTAGGGCAGTGGATAAGGAAATGGGAGAGATGACAGGGTAAGAAAAGGAAAAGATATTAGCAATGAAGAATAATGCCAACAATGAGCTAGAGTGTTCCTTCTCCTCTAAAAAACATTTGATTTCAGCCAGTGCTTCTTTGTACCCGATAGATGTGCTCGACTTTGGGCCCATAGTCCTCTGCTTTCTTGCTGTTGTTCCTGTAATCCCCAGAGACCACTGGGAGCACAATGACAGCTGGTGATGAGATCCTGGGGGCAAGGGAAAGCAAGGAAATTAAAATGCGAGACCTCCTCCCTGCCATGTGGCGCAGCTTCCTATACGCATGAGAAACTGCATGCTGAAAGGGAATGCCATTCCCCACCATTATTTCCAGAAGCTGCTTTTCTGTCCAAGGCCTTGATAGCTGAATCTTCTTTGCAAGAGCAGCAGAAACAAGTGGCAACCACTTTCCTGCACCACAGGACAACATAGGGCTGTGTGGGTACTCATGTGTGGTTGCTTGAATGGCTCCCAAAGAGAAAATATTCCCTGCAGCTAGCAAATGATGGCAGCTGTTAAAAATGGAGACTTCCCTCCCCCCCCCTGCACCATATCTTGGACAAAGTGGTTTTACGTACCCTAACAATTCCAATTTGGCGTCTGCCTTAACAGGCACCTGCAACCTTTCCACGTTGCTGTTGGGGTTGTGGCTGTTCTTACTGCAGAGAAGAGTAAAGTTATTGTGTGGGAAGCAGAACTGGAGTTTCTTTGCTCTCCCAACCCCCAGATTGCTTTCCAAGCACCAGGACATTAAACCCTGGCACATGCAAGTTGCAATGAAGAAGATGCACAGAGGGGCAATGATCAGGAAAGCTCAGAAAGTGACTTTTCCGTTCTGCAACTTTCAGTATCCCCAGATAATTCTGGGAGCTGTAGTTAAAAAAAGCAATCAAAAACTTTTCCAGGTACTTGAAGGAAGGAAGGAATATCCCTACAGCCGGCCAGAGAACTTGTGGCCTTCCAGATGTTGTTGTTGGACTACACAGTTTATCCACTCCAGGTAGTGTGTCCTATGATCCAATCCATGACAGGTGGGACTTGCAGTCCAGTATCTTCTAGAGGGCCATGCGATCTGCACTCTTTCTCTCTACAGGGAGAAAGCCTGTGCTGGCGGATTTCACGTTCTGTCAGCTGGTTGGCTCAGTTGCCAATCAGCAACATCAAGAACTGCATAGATTTGACCTAAGTTGAAGGGGAAGGGCCCTTACCATGTCATAAAAAGGGTGTGTCCTTGTGATGTCACAGAGGCAGAGCAGGCAAGTGTTGAAGGGGAGAAGTATTTTTGAGCCCCCTGATTGTGGAAATGGCCATGGGAGAATCTGGGCACTCGGAATAGAGACCAATCCTAGCTAGCCTGCTCCTCTTCCACCTGGCTTTTTAGTGTACTGAGACATACATACAGACCATTTCACACTGAGCCAGTGAGAACAATGCCTGCTTGCTGGAGAAGAAATTGCCTTCAGAGTCCAAAGGCAATGGGGCAGTTACCTTCTCAGCTGCAGCATGAAAGAGATGCTATCACTGGCATCTTCCAGCTGGCTGACACTTAGTTCCACGTCCACTGTGATCTGACAGGAGGGGAAGGAGAAAGAAAATGAAACAGCAATCTTCAGTCAATAGGACAAAGATTGCCATCATCAGACGACATACAACTCTTCTACTTCAGAGAGGCAGGGTTGTCGGGGGAGCACCTGTTGCCAACTGAAAGTGCTCTCGGCTGCCAAGGAACAGCAAGATGCCATCTGGAGGCCTTGCAAGCTACACTGGGCCCCTGTCTTTCTGCAGGCAAAAGAGATAGAAGTCTACAGGAGTGGAAGGATATGCTGACCCAAAGCAATACTGTACTATGTTCCCAAGGAGGTAAAGACAGTGCCCATATTATTGCATTGCATTGTATTGTATTCCATCATCTCCCTTAGGGAATTTTTGTAACTGAAAGGCCAGGCAGACATCTTAGCAGCAAAGGAGGAAATTATGGCAGAGATTGTGGTGTAACTGGTCCAGGTCTGCCCACAGACAGCCAGTGCTTTGCAACAAATCTGAGCTGGAGCTCTTTTTAGAAATTAACCAGCTTAAGGAATTTCTTTTCAGTCATCCTTATGCCTAGTATAAGTAGTACCATTCTGTATTAACTTGCCATGTTAGGTATTAAGAAACATATAAGTATCAAGCCCTGACCCGCCCATCTGGTATATCATACCACTCTTAGAGTGGTTAGAGAAGGTTAGAGAAGGTTAGAGAAGAGACAGCAATGCTTTTACTAACATAAGGAAAGGAATGTGTTCTTAAAAGAAATAAGGACAACAAGGACAGGGTGACCTGGGAAGGTTACAGAAGAGACAGCAATGAGATAAGCCTAAACATAATAAAGAGGGCAGAAGTCAGCTACTGTATACCAGAGGTCAACTATACTAGCCAGATGAGGAATGCAGATAAGGTCAGTGATATGTGATTAGTAGGGTATATAAATGCTAGCACACATCTGTAAGCTCCAAGACACCTTTATTCTGTATTATTTATTTATTTTATTTATATCCCGCCTATCTGGTCAGTAAATAATCAAAAGTCATTTTGTAGTGGGTGTTCTTTTTTTCTCCCACCTTGTGGGCCACTAGACTTAGCCTACCAGATATGTGAACCATCTATTTTTGCAACAACCCCAAGTACCTCCGTTTTGGCTTTCATAGGGTTGCCCACTTCACAGGCCACCAGACGGGTCTCATTCTCTTTGCGGGAACTGCAAATAAACTTCTACAGACCAGAGAGACAGAGAAAGACTGAGTCAGAGAATCAAAGGGTAAGTTCATGTACAGATATCTTTACTGTTGCGAGACTGAATAAATATCATGACAAAATGACCTAGAGGGCCTCCTAAGAGTTGCACTTTACTGCAGTTGGAAAGGTTGGTCCTGGAGGTCTTCTAGACTAGCATTAGTAACTGTAGCAGAACTACATAAGGCAACTCTAGCAAGTGGGGGGCATTGCTAGCCACATACACTGTGAATGCTGTGGTTAGTGGGATAATCTTTGCTAAACTTGAGCCACTCAGGATTTAGAGTGAATGACACACAGTCCCACCTGTTTAGTGCAAACTGACCATTAAAACCCATCATATCTGGAGGCTCTGAGTTGTGGAAGGCTTATTTGGTGGTTTTAATCCACAACAACTCAGACCTCCTGGCTCTTTGGAAGTAAGTGAAATAAGCTTTGCTAAACCTGAGCTACAAAACGTAGGGGTTGGATGGTGAAGAAGGGCAAAAATGCAAAGCATTCTTAGAAGAAAATGGAAAATCTAACCTGTTCTTAATTGACTTGCCTTAATAAGGGAAAGAGGCTACAGGTTGGCATGCCAGGCCATAGATGCAAACTCCATACCTGCTGACCACGGCTGGCCCTTTGAAAGTAAGCTCCAGGTGGCAACTCCACCACTAGTTCAGCCTCATAGGCTCCTTCACCATCATTGACTGCCATTGCCTGGATGAGAAGTACATTGTCTGCCCCAATAACCAGGGAGCCTTCATTCCTGAGACACAACCCGGGGGGGGGGGAGAGGAAGGGCTATAGTTAAAAAAAATAATACCTCTCGGTCTAGATCTGGAAACAATAACAGAGACAACACTGGTCATATCACAAAAGTGGAATGCCAAAACAAACTGACAGATGAAAGCCAGGGGCCACTTTGTGTTAATTCTTCATGAAGTGTATCACAATTGCTACCAAAGAATGTAGCAATGGGCAGAGACCAGACCCTCTGGGATGGAACTGAAAAACCAAGTGTCCTTTTTCTCCATTCCTCCTCAACTGTGATTGGAGACCCTCCTGCCATCCTTAGATAAGACAGTGGAGTAGCATCTTCTCTCTTGAACTGCAAGAAGAAAGGGGGGGGAGGATCCTCCGTAATCAGTAGAAAGAGCCTTCTCAGTGGTAGCTCCAGGCTGTGGAACTTCCTTGCACAGAAGGCTAGGATGACTCCTTTCCTGCTCTTTTTCAGAGAACAGGCATATACATCCCTCTTTTTTTAAGGTGAGTCATTGGCAGTTAGCCTGTCCTGTTATGGAAGGGGCTTTTCACTAGGGTGGGTGAAGTGATTTCTTGTACTGTAGCCTGTCCTGTTATGGAAGGGGCTTTTAACTAGGGTGGGTGAAGTGATTTCTTGTACCGCTGTGTTCAAAACCTGTGTGATGTGTCTAAAACTTTTTCATGTTGGTTTGCCTTTTATAGTTTATTTGTATTTGTTTATTTTTATTTTAAAACAACTAATGAACATTAAAACACGTAATAAACAAAACTATAAAGAAAGAAAAAAACCTACACACACTGTGCTCTCCACCACCCGGACCATCCGAGAGCAACCACTTACACAATTTATCCTCAGGGGACCTTATTCCCCTTCCAAAATTGTATAGACTCAAGTGTTAAATTTTGTCCCTTCCTCTTTATCAATACAAAATAAATAAATTCTCCCCATATATCTGCAAGCACATCTTGACTCATTATGCCCTTCTTAACTTTCATATTACAAGTTTATCATTAACTGCTGTACCCCAAACCTATCTGTACCAATCACTTAATACCTGTAATATATTATGCACTATTTTCCAGATTCTAGCAATAATCAATCTCGTGCTGTTAAAAAAATTAGAAACTAGTTCTCTCATCATCCACTTATCTATCTCCTTTCCAAATACTGCATTTTAGGACATACAGCTAAATTGAAATTGCTTACTTCATTTACTTCTTTAAAAAACAATTGCCAAAATGTATAGTGTATATATGTACTCACATTCCCACCACATTTGAAAATAGGTGGCTATTTTCTGGCACCCTCTTTAGCGCGTTTCAGAACATTTGTCATCTCTACTTGATTAAGTTTCATTGGAGTTAAGTATCATCCCCATATTAACTTGTAAAAAACTTCTCTTTTATCCTTATCAATATTCTAAAATATTCATATTTTTCCAAGCACTAAAGCTTATTCCTTCTCCTAAATCACATTACCACAATGTTTTAAATAAATCCTCCTGTTCTTCTGCTTCCAATAATAAATTAATTTTTTACTTACGTACTATCTCCTTTCCTACCTTCTCATCTCCTACACTTTCCTTGTGTAGGATAACTCCTTCATATTTCATAAATTTGTTATATTTACCATTTTTAATCCAATTCTTTATGCACTATTCTAATTTAATAACATTGTACCAATGTATTTCATCTTTGTCTAGCAATTCTTTTATTAGTTTTTGTTTTCCTTTTTTTTCCCTAGCCAATCCTTTACTCTAATAATTTGTCTCTTTATTGAAGGAACATCCATTTGGTCTTTTAGATTCTCTGGGAATTTTTCAAGCTTGTTCACCAGACACAATAGAGATCCTGGTGGGCTAAACAATTTTCTATATTTATTCCAAGTCTTTAATATATTACTAAGAAAAAAAGTTCTTTTTTTCACTATATTTTTATTATCCTATAAAAAGAGTGTTCACCAAATTCAAATATAGTTCTTGCTTCTCCATAGTCAACCAAATAAATTTACTGGGCTGAGATATAGCATCTGATTGTATGTCTTAATTTACTGGCAAAGTAATATAGCCAAAAGTTAGGAAGTCCAAACCTCTACTTTTTTGACATTTATGCCATTTCCTTATTAATCCTTGGTTTCTTATCTCCACTATAAATTGTTTTTGTCATATTTTGTATTTGTTTATTCTTGGGAGAATGATGGGATATGTGTGTCAAGTCAGAACCGACTTATAATGACCCTAAATAGGGCTTTCAAGGTAATATCTTCAGGAGTGGCTTTATCAGTTCCACTCCCCTGTCAGTTTCCACAGCTGAGCAGGGATTCGAATCCTGTTCTCCAGAATCCTAGTCCATCACTCTATTCACTACACCACACTGGGAATCCTGGGATATGTTTAGGAAGTACAGTAGATGGAATTATTTAAAGCTGCATTTTATAAATGAATCTCTGGGATGCTGTTAATAACAACTTTTTATTTTATTAATTATTTATTATTCATTGTTTATGATTATAATTATTGTCTGTTGAGCTGCCATATTGTTTTTAAATTTATTTTTTGTTATTGTGAAGTATTGAACATTTTAATCTTGTGTAAACTACCCAGTGTAGTGCTTCTGCTAATGGGGTAGAATATACAATCGTGTGAAAAAGAAAGTACACCCTCTTTGAATTCTATGGTTTTACATATCAGAAAATAGTAAAAATCATCTGGTTCTCAGCAGATTTGAAATACAAGCTCAAAGGAATAACAACACATTGCATATTACACCATGCCATGATTTATTAAATAAAAATAAAGCCAAAACCACAGAATTCAAAGAGGGTATCCTTTCTTTTTCATATAACTGCATATCAAATACATGAAATAAAAATAAATAAATGAATAAATAAATAATAAAAATATATACATTTAAATATGTGTAACAGGCCAAACAAGGGCACGTAGATGGGTGCCCAGCCTGCCCTGTGCCCTCTTGACCACACTCCAACCAGGTATGTGATCTAACCACAAACGGGATCCAAATTAGATCCCAATTTCATCAGACTTGGGGGAAGTGGGCAACTTCCCAAGGTGTGAAGCGGCACTTGCCCACACGTGCACCTTGTAGGGCTATAAATACTCCTGCATCCACCCACGCCCCAAGTATTTTTTTTTAAAGGATGTCCTACTTGGGCCTCTGGGGCCACATGGATCCGACAGATGACATGCTTCCCACCCCTGGAGCAGAGTCTGCTTATCTGCTGCCTGATTTAGTGGAATCCAGTCCCATTGATTTCAAGGACTGAGTTATAATCCATCCCATTCACATGATTAAATTGTACACAGTGCCTTCTGGTCTTCAAAGCACTTCATGTTTACTCCCTAGTACAGAGGATAGCGAAGTTGCACCCAAAGGCTTCATACAACTCCTGAAGGTATTTTCCAAGGTCATCCTAGGCCCCATGATTTTCATAAACAGGAGCCCCCCCCAACAAAAAAGTGCAGGTTTTTTCTTAACCAGGAATCTTCCAGAAGCTGTCCCCCTCTCCACTGAATGGGGCTACTGTTCCTTGCAAAGCCTTAAAAAGCTTCCTACTAGAAAAACGAGGCCAATGTTCTGTTTGGTCCTCACCCGTATTTGTTACTACTTTTGGACTTTGCGTGGCCTTCAAGGTAGGCTGGGTATGTGTGAAAATTTGGCCCTCAACCTCACCAAATATATCTGCCTTGATCAATTGTAATTCATATAAACAAACCCCACCTCTTTGTTGGACTACATAACACATTATCCCCGATCACTCCATTTTGGCTGGGACGGTGGAACCTATATCAGGAAAGGCTGTTGCATTGCTCTCCTTCATACAGGAGGACCTCTGTATTGGTGGGATCCGTACCTGTAGTTTCATTTATCCTCTGCCTGAAAATATTAAATAAAAATACCCAGAAATATGTGTCTCCAATGTCAGTTACCAGAACTGGCCACTAGAGGAAACCAAAGGCTATGCTAAATATGGAGTTTGCTATATGCAGGGTTTGGCACCCACAGAGTGTCGGGGCTTGGAACTGATTCCCTGTGGATATCACAGTCTTTCTATACTGCCAACTAAGCTGATGGCAGAAGCAAGGCACTACATGGGGACTTCCTGGCTCGCAGTTCAGTCTTTTGGCTACTACTCTCCACTTGCTCTTGATTATCCCTGCGAGTCAAGACAAACAGGTGAGCTGGTGTTATAAAGGAACAGGGTCTTACGTGTGAGCAGAGATTTTGAGTTCCGGGATGCAAATGCTGTCTTCACCACAATGCAGAATAATATGAGTCTGTGGATTGGAACAAATGTACACAATTATAAACAGCAAATCCAGTCTAGTTCCTCTAAGGAACTCAAAGGAACTCAGGTGCCCCCCCCCTGCGAACGCAGGTGGGCATAGAGGTTTGGGACACTAGATCCCAGAATCCTTCACGAACGCTCATCATGCTGACTTTGGGGTGTTTTAGAACTAGAGTCCTAAAAAGTGTTTTTTTTTTTCAAGTTCTGGCAGATGGATTTTTTTTATTCTATCCCAAAAATGCTGCTATCTCACATGAGATGAAGCTGGAAGACAATTAAGGAAATCTGCAATGTAGATTGAAGATCAAAAGAAAATACAGTTCCCTGTTATTCAGATGGTCTCTTTCTCTAAGAATCTAGCAGCACTCAAAGCTGAAAGCATTGGAAAGAATGGAAATAGAAAAAAAATCTAAATATTAATGGTGGTCTTCAGTTCCTGGGCTCCAGTCAGCCCTACAAGTTTCTAGTTGTCTTACCTTTTAAAACCATCATTTTAGACCTCAGAATTGGCAAGGAGAGTGTTCTCCGATCATGTGCAGAGTGTATTTCTCTTACCCTTTAATATATCCAATTTGATTTAGTGGGATTAGAAAACTGAGTTGCAGATTCAGAGATTATGCATCCTGATCCCAATAAACAGTTGGCCCCTGACTATTATTTTATTTTGGATATTTGTACCCTAGATTTCAGCAAGTTCTTTGGGACGTTTACAAAAAATTAAAAGTAAAAGACAAAACAAAGTGCGTCATTAAAATAAGAATGTTAAAAACACCATGATAGAAAAGCAGTCACAAAGCAATTAGAGGAACTACAAAGATTTGTTTGAAGAGAAAGGGGGAATCTTACCTGCTCTTGGACCATTGTTTGGCCAGATACTACAGGCTGCAACACACCATCTGTGGAGGCTGGTGGCACTAAACTGATGTTGAGACTCATTATGATTGGGCTCAGCTTGTCTTTGAAATCAGCTTCATCCTGTGTAGGGGAAGGGACAGAAAAGGGACTGAAAGACCTTAGAGGACAGCATTCACCCACTAAGCACCTTCTGTATTCATCGGACTACAACTCCCAGCATTCTCAGCCATGGCAAGGTTTAAAGTCCAACACAACCAGAAGGAGTTGGGCTGAGGAAGATGGTGGCCTTAGGACTATTTTTGAACTCCCATCAGGGCTCCTATGACATTAAATGGCACAGCATAGCAAGGAGAAATTCATTCATCTGCTTCCCAGATTTGGCCCCATTGAACTGTTACATGTCACACTGTTATTAAAGACACAAGAGTCCTGCCAGAACAGAAAAGATGATAAAAACCATAGATATCCTCTCTCCATTAACAATATCATCTGCTTTTATGGCCACCTGACCTCCATCCAACTGGAAACAAAATGAGGAATAGAATACCGGGCGCTTTCCATTCTCCCAGAAGTAGCACTGTAAGGAAAACTCTACTTTGGAGAAGACTAGCTTAGGGACCCAGTACAACAATTCTGCATGCTTACACCAGTGGAGGTTGACAACTCTGATTTTGGGAGATCATAAGACCACTGAAGGTCTTAGCCTGATCAGGGTTGGGAGCTATTCAAGGTGCTGAACCCTCTCTCCAAAACACATTCAATGCCTTGGATAACTTGTGAAGTGTTGACTAAAGCTCGGAGCGGATCCATTATGCCACAAAATCAGTCCCCAGTCCCCACTGATACATACAAACAGAGCAGAGTGGAGGCAAATACACTCCTTGATTCAGTGTTGGCTGGTAATGGGGTGTTGCCCCACTTCAGATGCAGGATACACCCAGTCAGAATACTCATACCCACCTCCTTCCTAGGGAGGCCCACCTGTGTTCAAGGCCTCACTTTTATTCCCTTCTGTCAAGGGGCAGCCTACAGTTTGCATGTGTGTATGCTACAGTGTATGCTCTGGTCCATGGGGTCACGAAGAGTTGGACACAACTAAACAACAACAACAACATGATACAGAGGAAAAGGGGAGAGAGAAAATAAGAGAGAACCAGCACCAGGAAGTAGAAAGCTATTGCCCCAGACTCCACTCTGTGTTGTACATTTATCCCCATTCATCCCAATGGGCAACAGCTGTAATTGGGTTGAGTAGGTTTCCTAGCCATGCAAGCATCAGGCTCTTCCAAAGCAGCTGTATGCAGTGGAGCTTAAAAACATTACTTTTTTTGGACTGCAGCTCCCAACAGTACAGTGCAAACACACTATGGGGGGGCCGCACTGAATGCCTTCACCTGGTTCAAGGAGAGACAAACAGCTAGCACTGATCAGGGCTGAGGAGTTCTTGGGAAACCTAAATTGTTCATTTCAACCTCCACATTGTTATCAACCACTTTTTTTATCAGCTAAAAAACAATTTTTTACAGCTCTTGAATTCTGAACTGCACACATTTTCTTTTGTTCCACGTATCATGGCAATGCAGCCAAATCATGCCATCACGCAGCAACACAAACCATAGTATCTGTCCTTCCTGTTATAGGCTGGGATAATGAATGCTAGGAAAGAGTGAATAACATGAGAAACACAGTCAAGGATGTCATCAGGAATGCTGATGATGACTCACATGCATTAACCAATCAGGTTTATTCAGCAGTCTTTAGGATGAAAGCCCAGGAAAGTTTCCTCTTTTCAGTTCTTCAGAAAGAACTGAGCCCACAAGGAACAAAAGAGTGAATCAATTTAGCCGATGAGGGACATCTGTTTTGTTTACTTTCTATTATGATTATTCAGGGCAGCTTACATGTGTTTTGTTTAATTAAGCTCTGCCTAGGGAAGAGGCTTTGAGATACTATTCTGTACCATCTTTGAAAATAAGGTTATAAGGCTCTATTCCCTTTCTTCTTACCATGTAACTAAGCTTCTGAGATACAATCCTGTCTGCTCAGTGCCTTTTGTACTCCACAAAGCTTCAAAACAAAAGAACTGAATACTAAACAGGGGTCGTAAATCATGAATAGGTGTGAAAAGCAACTTGAGTGTACTAACCACGACTATCCCTTTATCTTAGAGCCGTATATGAACGTTTAGCCTCCGTAGTCTCTTTATTCTACTCTTATGTCTGAGGAAGGGATGTGGTGGCGCTGTGGGCTAAACCGCAGAAGCCTGTGCTGCAGGGTCAGAAGACCAAGCAGTCGTAAGATCGAATCCACGTGACGGAGTGAGCGTCCGTCACTTTTCCCAGCTCCTGCCAACCTAGCGGTTCGAAAACATGCAAATGCAAGTAGATAAATAGGGACCACCTCGGTGGGAAGGTAACAGCGTTCCGTGTCTAAGTCGCACTGGCCATGTGACCACGGAAGATTGTCTTCAGACAAAACGCTGGCTCTATGGCTTGGAAACGGGGATGAGCACTGCCCCCTAGAGTCAAACACGGCTGGACAAAAATTGTCACGGGGAACCTTTACCTTTACCTTATGTCTGAGGAAGTGGACTTGCCTACAAAAGCTCTCATTAAAATATAGCAGTTAGTCTTTAAGCTGCCGCAACATCTTTGTCTTTGTTATTTTTTTCTTTTTCTTGTTGAATTTATTTGTTGATTCACTAGTTAGGAAAGGGATGAGCCAAGCTTTGGACTCTGTTCTTGTATCTTTAATAACAGTATGGCCTCCTTGGGTTCTTGTTCACTGAATCTCCAAGCAACAGACATGTCCTTCCTATTTGACTGATAGAAGGAGCTGGGGGTGGGGGTAGCATCTCTCCTATGGAGTAAGTAAATAAGTAAAGTGCTCCATCTATACATGAAAAGTTGGCTAAAGGAAAATATTCACATAATGTGTGAAAAAGCCTTCGTAGTCTTACAGAACAAGCTTTGCTGGATGTGTGTCTGTGTACATTCCAATAAATAAACAAATTTAGGTCTCCAGCAGGTACTCCCCAAACTTTGAGGACACCTGTACATGTGTGTTGCATTTCAACTTATCAAGTAGCTATGGAAGTCACACAGGAGTCCTTCCAGAAGAAAAGGTGGCAACCATACTCTGCAAAGATGGGGATAAAGAGATCATCAGTAGCATAAGGAAGTACAGTATTCTTTAATCCCTAAAATGGCTGAGAGACCCATTAAAAAGTGTTAGGTACAAAGTCACCCTGTGGTCAAGTCCTAGATATGTCAATTTAGGCTGGTATTGATCCCATAAGGCAGAAGAGGAATTGCTCAATATTATTTCTCTCCAGGTCTGGGACTGGTGATGAGAAAAGTTGGAAGTTTCCAGTCTATCCTGATATAAAGAAGTATAGAATATAGCTATTAATTATAAGTTAACTTGTGATATTAAGATTAAAAATTAGTTAAATAAGGGAATATTTAGTAATATTTGGGGAGTTTTTATTCAATATGTATTGATAGAAGGGAAGGGGTGCCTACCTTCACAAGATTCAGTGCAGATTTGGAAGAGGAATGGGGCTTTGCAAATGGGAAAAATTACTTTATAGAAGTCCTGAATCTGTCCTATCTATTGCCAAGATCCCACACACACAACTGCAAAACACACAGACCCCATTCTAGTCATCTGTTGCAGCCTATTAGGAAATTATCATACTCGCAAGTAGGCAGTGACATTCCAGCTGGTTTGCGGATTTTCTCCTGTCAGTTTCAGCCGGAAAGTCTGGCTCAGCTGCATGGTTTGCAGCAAGAAAACCCGTCGCCCAAATTTCTGCTTCATGCGGTCCAGCTGTAGTTCTGCATCCAGTTCTAGCAAAGTAGAAAAAGTGGGCAGAAAGCAACAGAAAGAGGTCGGAAGGAACATCATCCAGGTTCATGGCTCATCATTAGCTGGAATAAATACCAAACCACCCCCATCCGGTCCATCTGTTGCTCAACCTTAGGAAACTTCTGGAGGAAAAAAACACACAACCAACCACCATATTTTGCTGGTAGTGACTAATAACTACTTGCTAACCAGATCCTATCAGCAACTCCCATTACTCTAGCCACCAGAGTCAAGGGAGAGGAATTCTGGGAACTACAGTCCAACAACATCTGGATGGCTGGATGTTCCCCATCCCTGTCACAGAAGTAGGCACTCACAGCAACTGAAGGACCATACCTCTTGGTGCATCCTTGGTTGTCAGTTCCCCCTCCCTGTCTGTGGGGCTCCAGGTCCCAACCTGAACAGCAGCACTAACTGCACCACCTCCCTCTTCTCCAGCTGCTGAGGTTAACACTCACCAACTTTCTGTGGTATGCTCTTCCCTGCCATGCCTACTTGCATGTGGATCACAAAGCTGCATTGAGAAGTAAGAAACAATGAGGACATGCAAGGAGAACTGCTAAGGACTATCAATGATCCTTAATGATCAGTGCTAAAACCATCACCATACTGGACCTTTTGAACTTCTATGACATTTCACATGCTCCCCATGTATAAATATCTGTCTACTAAGGCTGTACTCGATGCAGTTGAAGAAGTATCCTTGATTATTTATTCAATTGTTTATTTGTTTACCGTAATGTTTATACATTGACTTAAAGATCTTGGAAACCTTAAAATAATTTTTAAAAAAGCATAAAATAGTTTAAACCATTTAAAACAATTATTTACATTTTGGGCACTCTGAAAAATGTATAACCCATTTTGCTTCAATTTATTTATCACTAACTGCAAAATAAAACTTGTTGGCCAAAATCCTCTTGCATAGTTAGGATGTTGCAATGTTAGCAATGCAACTTCAGTCAGATACAAGGTCACCTTAGATGTAATATCTGTTGCATGCTGTGTTGCATGTCTCATCAGTCTATGACAAATAACCTTTATGCTGACTTTGAAATGGGAGGCCATTCGCCTCCAAAAGCTTTATACCATAGAAAAGGATTTGGTCATTAAGTCTTTATAGTGCCAGAAAACTTTGTTGTTTTTGCTACAACCAACTAACATAGCTGCCCTACTGGAAAATTTTGTAGATCCTCTTTTCAGGGTGATCATTTATGCCATCCACTCTGTGTATGTGTGTGAATGCACTTTTTGGTTTCTAATTAGAAAGGGTGATGGACAAGATTTTTAATAGCCAAACACATAATTCATTTTCCCAAAGAGAGCCAAATATCACACCTGACTCATCATTAACCAGGAGGAAAAGTCTAGAAATGAATCATACAGGCATACATTGATTTCATTGATATACCTAATTGATTTTGACAGATAATGTGTATTTCCTAGGCACAATGGTGATCTGACTTTTATGTAAAAGGAATGTGATTTCCACTGTGCTCACCAGCTAACTTGCATTCCCGATGTCTCACATGTTTTGATCTCTGGATTCAAAGCATCTGGCAAAAGCAGCTGGGCTTTCACTACCATCACTGGCCGAGCTCTGAGAAGGATACAACATGCACATATAACAGAACACAGTGACTAAGAAGCAAATCTGGCAGATAGACACAAACAGCAACATTGGTAGATGGCTAAGGGGAGCATCTGCTGATTCTCTATTCAAGATCACATCATATTTGCAGAGATCCACAGCTTTCAGTGGACCAGTCCATCCATCCCCAGCCTGGCACCTCCAGATGTGCTGGTGTTGCAATCCCTATTATCGCCAGCCAGGGTTGATGACTGGGAATAATAGGGCATGCTATGGGCCAATGGATCTGGAACAGACTAGGCTGGGAGAGGCTGGAATAATACACTTCAGGTATATCCCAGTTCTAGAGACAAAAACCCCTCCACCACAGAAGAGGCTTGCTTTCCAATAATACAAGGATGGACAAAAGTGAAAGAATCTCACTCTCTTCCTCCTGTTGTATGTATGGGGTGGGCTAGAAACACAAATATTTAATTAACCGACTAATTCAACTCTGCAACTTTTGTACCACCCAATTAGTGCAAGGCACAACTCTGGGCAGTTAACAGATAAATTAAACAAATAAATACAAGACAATGAAAACAAACAGTAAACAATAAGATGAAATAATATTGCTTCAATTCTGATTGAGAATGGGAAGAAATACAAGTGAAGTCATTCTGTTTTTCTAAAAATATGGAAGGATTGACTCCTTTTCAAAAATTTATTCTTACGAAGGCAAGGATTTGATGATTGCACAGGGGCTTTGGGCAAGAAGATGAAGGCAACCAAGGTGCAAGCAAGTAGGCTTGCAAGGACTGAAAATATGAAGAGAGGATTACTGACTGGAAGAAACTACTGGATGTTATCGGATGTTTGAGAAGAAGAAGAAGAAGAATAGATGGAGGAAAAAGATTATTGCAAGAGGTCCCGTCTGTGGTGGTGGGGAACGCAGCCAATTTGTATTTTGGTTTGTGTATTTTATGTTTATGTTTATGTTATATTTAAAATAAAAATATTTTTAAATGAAATAATAAAAACAAAAATAACTCCATCAACCAAACAAAGCACACCAAGAGCTTTGCAAAAACGCCAACATATGTTCCATTCACTGGTTGCATGGAAATGTTTGCAGCTTGCAGCTTGTAGCCCTTCCATGTTTCCCTTCCTTTCTGTTTTTTACTTATCAGAGACAATTAATTAAAAACATGGGAAAAGATGGAATATAGCTGCACAAAGATTTAACTATGAACAGTAAGAGCCCTCAGTCTGGCAAAATTGTCAGCACATAAGGGTCAAACTTAGGGATATAGTATCTATTCTTTACAGGAAAGGACGCACCACAATCTTCCCCTTTTTGCTCACAAGCACTGTCACAAGTTTTCTCCGGCTGTTGCCAGCTCCTATAGCACAAAAACAACCCACTCTTTTGCAAATCAGAGCACTTTTTTTGCACAATATATGCGATTTTGTGCAAAATTGATTATTTTTGTCTTTTAGTGTTCCATTTGTTGCTCTTGTACTGCTTGCAAAGAATTTTGAGAGTTGGAGAATTTTCCTCAGTGGTTTCCAGAAACAATTATTGAGAATGAAGGTTTTTGCAAAACATTTCTTCAAATTCCCACCTCAGCTAGATTATATGTTTATGACATGTTTCTTTGCAGAGGTGCTCCCCCAAAGGAACTTAATTTGCAAGTCTGATTACTGAAGCTGAGGAAATCCCACTGCGGGGGAGAAAATATTAATTGCAGAGAACACACATTGCTCTTAACATCCAATGTAACCTTGAGTATGAAGCCCTTTCTAACTATTTTTCCTTCACAACCAAATTTGGCCCCAAAGGTCCATCTCCAGCTAGCAGAACAGCATTTACTCACAAGTAAACAGCCACTTTGCTGGCTCTATAAGCCCCAACCAGCACATCTGGAAAGAAAAAGAGGAAGGCAAATAAATGAAAAAGTTAACAAAGTCAAGGACATGTCATCCCACCCACTGTCATTGCAGAACTCCAGATCAACCCATTCTGTTGGCAACCTCTGCAAAACCTAAGCATAAGAAAAGCAAAGATTTCACCCAGGCTGATGTCTGAGAGTAACTAAAAGAAGGCTTGCAAAATCTGACTGGCCCTAAAAAAAGTCAAACTCTTTGAAGTCTTCAGCTTCTCTGAAAGACAATTAAAACACACACACACACCCTAAATGCCCCACAGCTTCATTTTGCATTACCCGGGTAGCCATTAGCATCCACATCAGAAGCTCCACGTATGGCGAAACCAAAACCAGCTGGTCCAGGGAAAGGATTCTCCAGGATCTGGTCTGGGGATGTGCTCAAGCCTTCGCTATTCCCACAGTAGATGTAAACACGCCCACCCCCATCTTGGCCACCAAAGGGGGCTCCTACAGCAATATCTGTGGAAGCGAAATAAAGACTGTAAGTAACCCATGCTATGTGGTACTTTCAGTTACAAATGGTGATCACTTGGGATAAGAAAAGGGAGGTTGGGGCAACTCTTCCATGTGCAAAGAAGCCCACACAGGAAGGTGTGGCACTTAACATAGTTCTCTTACTCCAGGGCTTAGGATGGTGAATTCTTAGAACTACAACCTCCCAAATCCCACATCCAGCATGGCCAATATGGGAGTTGTCATTCAAAAAATAACATTTCTAAGTTCTGTGTTTCCTGGATTAAATCAAGGATTCTATGAGTGCTCCTGTTTTCACCTTTGTGTGGGGTGATGATTCTGATGGGGTGGAGGAAAGGATGAGCTGCTGAGCAGGATTTTGTAGGCCATAAGAGAAAAGGGAGTCCAGTTATCAAAGAAAATGCTAGGGAAAAAACATCTTTCCTTTTTCCCACAGCCAAGAAAAAGTTCAGCTTGGCAACACTTATCAGTGCTGTTTGTTCAAACAAGATATGTAGGGCCCAACCTTGAAAAGAAAGACATCACAAAGCCTCAACACATACAGAGGCCACTTTTTCCTCAGCCTTGAAGAGCAGGACCCCAGTGGTGGAGGAAACAGACTCTTCCTCCTCAAAGACTCAAAGGTACTCTTTTGTTTCAGTACCCCAAGGAAGAGTTAATACCACACAAACATCTAGCCCTGCTCCTGTAAACAGTGTCTATAACTTGCATCATAACATATTTTGGTGGAAATGAAGGTCTGTGTGGCACTTTTCCAGCAGTCAGTGGAAGAGGAGTGGGCAGGGGAGAACAAAAAAAGTGAGATTTTGCAGGGATCAAATAGATCTCTTCCTCCCCGCCCCCATGCATAGTTTCTTACCAATGTATCCATCCTGGTCCATGTCTCCCAGAGGAGCAATAGCCATGCCAAAGCGCCCATAGACATCCAGGCCCGTCAGTTTCTGCCAGGGGGTGCTGAAGGCCTTTGGGGTCTTCCGCTGCAAATATAAATAAACTCGTCCCAGTTCATAGAGTTTACGATCCGAGCGGCGCTCCATGAAGAGAGGGGCTCCCACAAGAATGTCATCTTTTCT